CCCTTCTCAGTCAATGTTGCTTTCTCAATTCAAATGGCAAAACGCATCAAATCTGTCGAAAATGGCACGCAACATTGACGTTTGTTCAAATTAAAGGTTTTTTGGCATCTGTCCCAAGGCATTTGAAACTGATTGTAGATAAATAATGTATGCCCCCTATGGATACCAGCTTGGTGCTGAATGGGCTACCTTGCTATATTAAAGTTATCATATGATAAATCATATAATATATATCATATCATATACGAATTTCTGTTGAGTTAAAATTGATAAAATCACATCAAATATTTATATTTGCAAATCAAAACATTGTAAAATTCTCTTGTTTTTATCGCGCCTGCGATATGTATGTCATAAACTGCTGCGAATGAAACAATCCAGTAATTCGTTCAGTGATATATATGGTTCAGTGTTTATAAAAAATGGCGCACTGCTAGGAGCTAAATCCTAAATTTCACATTGGCCGCCATCTTGGATTTAACCGCGAAGTGAACTGGAACTTAGTCGACATTTCACTGGGAAATTTCCGTCGGAAGTACAGTGCCCTTCCAGGCGCTTCCTAGTCCCTGCCGCGCTAAGTTTAAAATAGCTATGATGTTGGGCTGGTTATGCAAATTTCTTGCCTTTTCGCGTTCTTTCCACGCTGAGCGAAACCGGAGATCGAAGCCATAGTCTTCGGCTATAATCGCAAGACGCAAACAATTTTCGCGTTTTATCCCGTAGTATTAAGGAAAGCGCTAAGTTGTGTTTGATTATGATGTTAAACTGAAAGTAAAAAAGGCGAAGTTTTATGCTTGTTTTGATTTTAAAGAACTGATTGGCTGTAACCAAGGCACAATTTGTAATATGGCATAATCTACGTGTCTTATACGTTGATTGAATTTCACTTCGGTTAGATTCACTGAAGGCACGAATTTATTGGAACACGTGCTTATTTTGTATCATTTCTTGAAACCTTACCCAGATCCCATTCTTTTAACAACTATTTGAACGTTGTCCCTTGGTGAATATTTCAGCTTATGAATATTTAGGCTGTGACTATTTATAGCTTAGTGCGAATTAATATTAAACCACTCTAAATATAAAAAAATTTATGAAATCAACACGAAGCAGAAATTCTAATATCTATTATCCTATGTCTCACAGAAATTTGTTATTTAAACAAAATTGATTGAGAAAGCTTACCGATTACAGCTAAGATACAGTAATTGGCTGCAAGTCATTTGTATAAAATCAAATTAAAACAAGCATAAAACTTAGCCTTGCTTCACATTTTAATATCATAATCAAACACAACTTATCGCTTTCCTTAATACTATGGGATAGAACGCGAAAATTGTTTGCGATTAGCCGAAAAATATAGATTCAAAAACGTTCCAACAGATGACAGCTCGTCAACCATAAATGATGTTGTTATACTAATATAGCATTTGTAAAATCTGAGCGCTGATTTGATAATAGCCGTGTTGACATAACTCAATGTCAACAAGGGAAATTTCTTTCTTTATATTTCTTTGTGCTATATTATAAAAAACTCAACAAATTTTCCGAATTGATATACAGTTATATCAACACTCGTGGAAATTGGGAAAACACGAAATTGTGTGAAAACGCTCCGCCTTCCAGGAGTCGTGTTACCACACAATTTCTCGTTTTCCCAATTCCCACTCGTGTTGATATAACTGTGTATATCAACACGGAAAATGTTTTATATTTGTTAAAGCCACCATAATTAGAATGTATGAAATGTAGCAGAGAGTGATATAATCTAACTCGCCATCTGTTCTTTCTCCTAATTTCATTATTTTAAAATTTTTACAGCTGTTCCCCTCAGGCTACAAGGTCCACTAAGTGCAAACGGTATTGGTCGGGTGGAAGTATTCTACAATGGGCAATGGGGAACAATCTGTGATCATAGTTGGGATGTAGTTGATGCCAGGGTTGTATGTCGTCAACTTGGTTACTTGAATACATATCATGTTAGAGCTGTTCGAGGACGGGGTGTTTTTGATGGTACTGGACCGATATGGTTACACGATGTTGCTTGTATTGGAAATGAACTAAACGTGACGAGTTGTTCCCATGGCAAATGGGGAAATACAAATTGCAATCACAGTGAAGACGCAGGAGTAGAATGTTCTTCAATAGGTAAATCACCATACTGTATTTGACGACTCGTATGAAACTCCATGTGATATTAAATACATGTGTACATAATTCACATGACTCCTGGAAGGACATAAATCTTTTTTAAAAAACGATGGCGTCGTGATGTGAGTTGCATGCCGGTTAAGTCAAGCAGTTTTAGATATTCTGTAATATTATTTATATAGAAGATTGGGTAAGGTTCATAATATACCTTTATTTTGATAAAACCATACCGGAAGTAAAACTAACAACACATTGAAGCTATGATTACCAATTTTGCTGTATTCTATTTTTTATGTATTCTATTATTGCTGTATTACTATTTTTGCTGTATTCTATAAAAACGTTTTGTGTGGTAAAATGCTTGAACAACATTTTCAAACCAAACCATCGCCAAATAACATCCATCAAACACATGCAGCTGATTCAGTGAAACACGTTAATAAAAATTAAAACTATATGTTGCAATTGTCCGACAGTCGCGGCAGGCTCTACTAAGTTACAGTATAGGTACCATGCCACACTGGCTAGGTAAACATGCCGTGTTGGCAGCCAAAAAAATTACAGTAGATTTGCTAAACAAATGATTCGCTTTATAAAATGACACGATGCATCCCGGATAGCTGGACTGCAGTATAGTAATTCGTTGTGCAAACCAAGTCCGTTTCAGGCTTACTTTATGCAGAAATGCATTACAAAACGCTATTGCTGTAAGCTGTTTCTTTTGATAATAATCTTGTCAGAACGCAACGTCTTTTTCGTCGTTTAAATTAAACACCCAGCAAGACTGCAACATTAACGCATTCCGCACGCAATATTTTTCGTATACAATATTTCAGGAACCTTGGACACTTCTGTCGTTTTCTGACTTCTTCCTACCATGGCAGGATGTGTTATACTGTATCTTAAAGCGATCATTTGCACTTAATTAAAACTTTCCAGAGAGAAAACCGCATCTTTTATCAACATACAGCAAGGGAGCACAGCAGTATTCTTCTCGAGATTTGCGTACCTGTATGGCTGTAAAATCTGTGAATAGGTAGTCTTTGTCTTCTTTGGTTTTCTAATTTGCATATAAACAGTAAACACTGTTTTTAAATACTTTACAGTACCATAACCACAACTATAACTTTCACATGGTCGTCCGCGGTACATATTATATCACATGTAACGGTTTGTAAATACGCGCGAAAATTACAATAAATAATAGATGGGACTGAAACTGTGGGCACGTAATCAATATTAACCAATAGCATTTGGGGATTTGAAAACTGCTTTCTCCAAGGTTTGTAGCAAAACCAAACGCTTACTATCAGATAGAGGCGACTGTAAAAGCCTACCAAAAACTGATTTGTGCACAATTCATAAACTTTTCAACTCTGATATTCCTTTTCAAATGTTTTATATATGCTGCTTCTACTTCGAGAATATTGCCCCATAGCATATTCGAAAGTGGTTTTAATTCTATGAATAAACGAATTTTGTCATTATTTATATTAAATTAAATATTTCAAGCTCGTCCGGTGTGGATACACTCTCAGAGTAACATCACAAGCATCATATTCACCTGAGTACACAACAACACCACAGAAAAAATCGTTGTTAGTTGTGATTTTTCTGTACCTATATTAGTTGTATTAAACACAAATACTCCCGTTTTACTATATCGTATGCTGGTTTTTACTTGGATAATTTTGCATTAAGCATAGTTAAAAATGGCTTGAATGTTATAAAGTAACACAAAATATAACAAAATCATGACGAAATTTGACACCATTGTTTTATAGTACCAGAAATACATGCATGCAGCAACCCCTGATTTAACATGAAGTATTAATAATTGATCAACACTAAAAGCAGGCTCGCGTTTACGTCAGTGTTGCCATGGCAACACGATAAAATGATAAATTTAATTTTTATTATATTTTTATTATATTTTGTACAGCACGCCAAAAATAGTTGAAAGATCATTGCTTTTAACTATATAACAATGAATTTCCGAAATATGTACTGTAGGTATGTTCTTGAATTTGTGAGCTTTGATTTAATGTAAAATTTAACCTAAATCGCTTCGTAAAATGTTTTGAAATGTTCATTTTTATATTAAACTAAATAAAACTGCTTTTAAAGGCTTTTTTCGTTGAACTGTTTTTACTTTATAAAACAAAATAAGTTCAAATTGTTGAGTATTTTCAGTTCGATTTTTAAATTAATTTGCTGTCCTTTACATTTTACCTTTTTTTCATTGAACGGGGTAATTTAACAAACTTTAATACAGCTTCATTGAAAAGGAAAGCAGTGCATGTTTTACGCAATAAATTAAAGCAACAAAATTCATAAACATTAAACATTCCAAGCAAACTTGCCCTATATTCCACGACTTTCCACAGTAAATCAATTCTTCTCATTTCTTCAAACAAAGATTGCTCCAAAGCTCATTGTGTGAAACGTGATTTTTCAAATCTATGCTTTTGAAAATTGAAATCTTGCTTATCCCACTCCTGGTAAACAGCCATATTTTTGAGATCAGTGAGGATGATCACCCACGGTTGGTGACCAACGCCCGCGATCATTGATGAACTTTACACTTGCCTAATGCTTCCCTTTCCCCGGTGTAAATAGCCGGGGGGGGGGATTAGTACCCACGCCCCGGACTGACGCCCGGGACGGCGCTCCGCGCCGTTGGCTCGGGGATAAAATGTAATGTACTTGATACAAATATATGGCATACTACAATCAACCACACTCTGGATCAACTCTTAATATAATATTATGTGAACTGAAGCTTAGATTGCATAATTCCATACTGCTGTGCTCCCTTGCATACAGAATATTTGTCAATGCCTGCAATGATTGTATTTGGCTAAAATTAGCCTCTCTTAATTTCAGTATAGTTAACATGCACTTACATACCTGCAAGCACTGTACTTTTCTGTACTTCGCTTTAGGAATAATATTAAGATGAAAAACAGGTACTGAATCCAGTTTTAGTGTATATTGTGTTTAACTCTCATACTGGCTGGAAGTATTTGTACTTACTTTAATATATAAATTTAACAAAACAACTGATATTATTATTCCTTCCCAAATTCCCGCACTGTTCGGTCCGACCACATGTGTTCTGTCCCATGATGCCTTTCGCGTTTTATGTAATGTTCAAAAAATATTTTACACCACTGCACCAATTTTATTTCCAGATTAATGGTTTACCTTCCCAACCATGCGTGATGTGATGCACCATCATTAAAATGTGGCCGAAAATTATACTATCTCACACGTCAGCTTTTCTTCGTCTTAATTTGATTTAATTTTTACAGCTGCACCCCTCAGATTGCAAGGGCCTTTAAGTGAAAATGGCACTGGTCGTGTGGAAGTATTCTATAATGTGGAGTGGGGAACAATCTGTGATGATGGTTGGGATATTGACGATGCAAACGTTGTATGTCGTCAGCTTGGTTATACACATGCTGTTAGAGCTCTTGAAGGCAGCTATGTCCCTGATGGTACTGGACGGATATGGTTAGATGATGTCTCTTGTACTGGGAGTGAACAAAATCTGACCAGTTGTTCTCATAACGGATGGGGAAATGAAAATTGCAGGCACGATGAAGACGCAGGAGTAGAATGTTCTTCAAAAGGTAATATTTTGTTTTTAACCACTCGTATGGAACTGTGATACACATCAATCACATAAACCTCTCTCCGAAAAATATTCATCACGTCATGCGAGAAAGCACTTGAACAGTTGCTTACCCGGCGTTAAATTTGCTATTTTCGCAAATATTTAATGAGTTATATAGTGGCACAGTGGTAACGTATCATTCCGCAGGTTCGAATCCCTGGCGAGATACAAAATCTTCCCGTTCAACTTTTATCAAAACTTTTTTCTTCTAATCTGAACTTTCTTTGGTAATGATTAGCATCGGTTTAAAGGAGGAGAGATTCCTTTATTTCATAAAATTAAACCTCGTACTTTATTCGAGGTACAAATCCTGCCGGAAATTTAGTACAGCCTGGCTGCGGGCTGACACGTTGTTTTTTCAAAATAATATTATTAAATTCAACAAGCTATCAGGCCTTAAAAAATGCTCTAGTACTTGTCGCTGCACTTTATAATGTACCGTATATCTTTCTTTAGTTTCAACACAAATATCAAATATCATGCTGATCAAATAACAAATCGACTTCCTGATTGTGTTACTAATATCAAAGTGTCTTCAAAAATACGCTTTCCAGTTACCTCCTGAACACAAGGAAGGAGAGCAATCATAGGCTTCTCTTCTTTGAATTTGACTGTTGCTCCACGCCTTCCAGATTCTTATACTTTAAATACGACATTATTTGGACGACAGTGCATGGAAAAGAGCCAATCATTACTCTCATGTTGCTGATACAATGACATAATAGCTTCGCATAGTGCTAATGCCCCATTCGAGATTACCAACATCCGCAGCCTTCGGCCAAAGAGATTATAAAAAATGGCGCCGCGAGTGGCATGTTGACAAATTTCCAATATTCTGTATTATAATATTGTATTTAGATAGAAATGTGAGTAAGGTTTTCACATATACATGTAGTTTGAAAATTATTATCATTATATATAATTATGAAACAATAACAGTAGGGTGTTCGAACTTTAGCACGCTATTGTACGTGAATTACTCGGTGTGTGAACACAATTTTTATATTCGGAAAGACCAGGCTTCTAGCTATTGAATGACATGTTTTTCATGCCAATTGGAGAAAAATAAGCAAGTACAAGTCCGATAAAAAATGTTAGTCAGAATCGCATATTTTCACCTCTGTGTCTAATTAAAACAGGGTGCATAACAAAAGAAAATAACGAACTTGTCATAGCTTAGCTAAGATTTATTCATACTTAATAATGATTAAGAATATGTGCGTAGTTTCATAAAGTGAAATTCATCAACTTAAGCCCGTTCTCCACTACGCGAATTTGTTCGCGCGACGCGAAGCGAAAACCGAAATCCGGCAACGTGATTGGTCGGCGAAAAAATTCGCGGCGAAAAAGTAGCATCGCTTCCTACTTTTTATCTGTTCGCGCGAATAAATTCGCCTAGTGGAGAACGGGCTTTAAGTCCTAAAGGAGGTTAATTTTCAATGGTTTTAGACCCAACTCTCAATGGTGAAAATAAGCGATTCTGACTAATATTTTTATCGGATTCGTATTTGCTCATTTGTTATCCATTTCGCATGACGAATATATCATTCAACAGCTAAAAGCCTGATCTCTTCGCATATGAAAATATCTCGGTCATACACAGAGTAATTCAGATGCAATAGCGCGCTGAAGTTCGATTACCTTTCTTTTGATGCTGCATGCACCCTGTATATTCTCTGATTCTGTAGTTGTTTTGCCGACACTTGGTTTCAGCAATGGATCTCACCTGACAGTCGAAGAAGGAATCTCCATTGTGCTTACTATTGAAGTGACTGGGCCGCTAACAACTGAAATTTCTGCAACGTAAGTCAAATAACAATAAATTGAACAAGTATCAAGTATAAATAGAAAAGAAACAAAATATATAAATAAAACATTTAATGAATATACTTTAACTGGAAATACATCCATAAAGTACCTTCTCTCGTCCTTCCTAACCAAACATTTTTTCAACATGAATTATTTCCAAGTAGTAAACGTTTCGCCGACGCAATTTTCCCTTTCGTAAACAGCCAGGGTCAGCAGTAACAATCAGTGTCACCATTCTCAGTGCGCATCACATCCGGTGAGTATGAAATGAGATATTTACCACGCGAAACGCGCGTTCGAACGTGTTAACCAAGATCAGTGGTGCTAACATGAGTGGGAATTGGAAAATCACAAGTTATATCAACACAAGTGGAAATTGGGAAAACGAGAAATTGTGTGGAAACACAATATTTTTTATAACAGCACAAAGAAATATAAAGAAATAAATTTCCGTGTTGACATATATCAACACGGCTCTTAGCCAATCACCGTTCAGAATTTACAAATGCTATATTATAAAATGGTTTTGTCAGTAAGGCGAGGGTTTCTGCATGCACGTATTTTCTAGTGACATTCGATAATACATCGCGATGAATGCAATAACATACAAATATATTTAACAAAACAAGCAGTACTAACACTAAGATTTATCTCACATCTGATTATTAGACAACAAATTAATAATGGTAATTGAACTGAATGGAGTGCAGTTTGAACTGAAATCAAACGCGTGATTACAAAATCGCACGACCGCAAAGCGGGAGTGCGATTTGTAATCACAAGTTTGATTTCAGTCCAAAATTGCACGACACGAAGTTCATTTTCCACTTTATTATATTCATTTTGAAATCTTAAATATTTTGTAAACCGGAAACGTTTTTGTTTGCAAAAGACACACCTCCAATACCTCCCTGAGAGCTTGAGCATAGCAACAATAACCGAACAAGATGAACTCAGTTTTGTTAAATTGCACGTTCAAAATAATGCAAAAATGTTAAAGAAATGAAAACATTTATAAAGAATAAGAGACAACACAAGTAAGTTTAAACATATTGTAGGTTTTACGAGTGATTTGAAACAGTTTTGGTGCAGTTCTGTGCGTTTAAAATTGGAAATAGGCGAATTTACCTTTGTATTCCCTGACGCTTTATAAAATATGCTTTTGTTGGCATTTTTGCCCGTTACTACTTGTAAAATTTCAAAAAATATAAAATTCTTTGCAATTCTTTGGTAGTTTACTGTAGCTGTCCATATTCTTTTGTGTTTATGTGCAAAACATTGCTTAAGCCCGTTCTCCACTAGGCGAATTTATTCGCGCGAACAGATAAAAAGTAGGAAGCGATCGTACTTTTTCGCCGCGAATTTTTTCGCCGACCAATCACGTTGCCGGATTTCGGTTTTCGCTTCGCGTCGCGCGAACAAATTCGCGTAGTGGAGAACGGGCTTTAAGGTACTCAAGAGTAAATTATGACATATGTAAATTTTTTGTTTTTGCTCATTTGCCATATTATATTTTTCTTAAAATTGATTGGCTGTTTGAATCCTATGATTAAATATGATTAGTTGGCTGAAGTCAGCACCCTAATGTGGGTTGAAAGAAGGTGCGATTTCAGCACGAATATTCGTGCTGAAATCGCACTCCTGTGAAACAATCAGATTGCAGGAAACACGATTGATTTCAAAATTAATATAAGTATAGGTAATCATGCGATGGCGAGTACAATTAGGGATTAATCGTACGAGTGATGTAAATTTCCAAACATCACGAGTACTATTAATCCCTAATTGTACGAGCAACATCGCATGATTACTTGTTTATTATTAGCATGACAAAATTGGATACGTACTTCTCATTGTCAATATCATATTCTCTCGCCAAAGCCCAGTCCTGCCAGATTTTCAAACAAAATTTGGTGCTTTTGTTTGTATTTTCATTTAGTTCTTTTGTTAAAGAAAAATTTGGTGCTTTTGTTCGTATTTTCATCTAGTTCCTTCACGGCAATTTCATTTCACATCTGTGTTTAAAATACCTTTCCGCCATTTTGTTTGTTTTGGGAAAATCATTAATAGTACAATTAATGATGGTAATAGAACGAATAGGAGTGCTATTAATGCCATAATCATACGAGTAATTACAAAATCAACCGACCGCGTAGCGAGAGGTTGATTTTTTAATCACGCGTCTGATTATGGCATTAATATAGTACGACTTAATTCGTTCTATTACTTATTAATTATTTATCTTCTGTAATCAAACTGTTTAAGGGGGGAAAGCACAAAAATACAATTTGTTGAAATTCAATATAATTATTAAATTTTTGTCACGACAATTCTTAGTGAAATAGTACAATTTTGAATTAAATTTATCATAATCAAATTAACATATTAATTAACTTCTGGGTATTATTTCCGGTATAATCACATGACAACATTGTTTGAATTATTCAACACACAATTGGGAAGCCATGTTTGCATGTTTATAACGTGTTCAAAATAGTGAAGTTCTTTAGTTCATTTTAACCTGAATCTGATTGAAATATAACCGCTGGTTGTGTCTAGTTCGGTAACCTGAGTATCAGGCTCTATTTTACAAATAGAGCCTGATACAAACCTTAACCCGAACGCTTTCCACCCACAGCAAAGTTTATATTTAGTACCCAATCAAAATGTCGCAGGAGAAATTTAAATTTCACACAACGACAACAACGATCTAATTATAGCATAGGCAGCCCACTAAACGGCTGAATTTAAATTAAAACTGCAATGAACTTATAAAATTAACAAAAATAATCACAAATTAGCGAAACATATTGCAAATGTAGCTTATATTAAATTGCCACCCGATTGCACTATCAACGAACTGACGTATAATTATAAAGTATATATATATATATATAAGTATACCGGCTTTATATTAAACTATACGTCAGTTAGTCGATAGTGCAATCGGATGGCGATTTAATATAGCTACATTTGCAATATATTTCGCTAATTTGCGATTATTTTCTAATTTTACTGCATTTTTAATTTAAATTCAGCCGTTATAGTGGGCTGGCTAATATGATTGTAGTTGTGATCAACAACAATAGTATAATCTAATTAGCACCAGCCAATCAAATGACAGATTTAAAAAATCGTTTGTCTAATCGGCCAATCAGACGAAAAAGCCAGAATATGGCTTTTTACATGCGGCGCGGTAAAGAATTGTATCAGGCCCTCCTTCATTCGCCACCGCCAATTAATCCTGGCGAATGAAAACATAAGGGCCTGATACTCAGGTTACTAGTTCGGTGTCTTCTGCTGGAATAACAGGTAGGTCATTTTCGTCAGAAAATATATAATTTAACAGCCCTAGAAAACGAGGTCGGTCACTATTAAATGCCGACCTATCAACCTCCCAGGTCGGCCATGTTTTGCCGACCTTAATTCAGCCAAAGTAAGAAACTTTTTTGGTGCTAATAGCTGTTAAAAAGTCAGCGATTATAGAATTCGATACACTTTGGTGTAAGGTTTAAGAATTAACGGGTATTATGATATAATTTAGGTAAGACTCCAAAAGAAAAGCCTTCGTGACATTTATACTTTTCAATGATTCGTAAATACGTGATTACTAGTGCAGGCTACTAGTGCTCCAAAACATGGAAACAGATTTTAAAAAATGTCGAGATGTGCCGAGCTAGGTCAGATTTAGGTCAGCATTTTTTTTCCGACCTCAATTTTGACAGTTTTCGAGGGCTAACTTAAAAATTAAAAGGTCAAAATTTTCAAAATTTGTGAATTCCTCCATTTTGAATTTTTTTACAGCAATAAAGAAAATAAAATTCAAAGTTTTTATCCTGAATGCTGATTGGCTAGTTGTAAATACTAGACTGGTTTTCATTGGTTGTAGACAAGGGTGCGATTACAGATCAGAAAAAGGTGCGATTAATGCTCAAATCGCACTCCTGTAAACCAATGAAATTGCAGTATTTGCCACAGTATTTGCCACTATTTGTCATTTAAACAATTAATAAAATAATTGTACTCCTGTCGACCAATCAGCATCCAGTAATTTTGTCATGCTAATATAATAAAAGTAAATACCCGATAAAAATTCAGTTCATTTAACCTCCAAGACGCATGCACGCAGCTAAGATACCCCATGTAATTTTTTCACCTTGGTAGTTTCAAAAATAATCCTCAGTCTGGCTAGCGGAAATAAAGTTAAAAACCCCAGAAATAAAGTTAAAAATCCCGTTCGATCAAAGGGCTTGTTACTCTAAATTTTATATGTATGGCGTCAATTGCTAAGTTTGACTAATACGATTATATTTCGTTTCGGTTTTTTACTATTTTACTTTGCTAACAAAGTGGTCATTTCACTTGGTTTTCACCTCTGGAACTATATTTGGATTTCTATTATATTCCCACATTTTATTTAGGGCCACAGTTTCACTTGTAAGCGCCAGTAATGCAGATTTCGATGCACTTCCGCTTTCTGACTTGAACTTTGGTCCTGGTAACACTGACGAAACAATTACTATAGCAACCAAGGATGATTCAATTATTGAACCCGACGAGTTCTTTGTTGTCATTCTGTCAACAACAAGTTCAAATGTGCAAATTGACAAGGTCAAGGGAGTCATAATTATTACGATTAATGACAACGATGGTAAGTATTAAGTTCTTTGTATATGTTTGCATGGCGATAAAATATAATAGTTTTGTTTGTGGAAACACCACGTAAATTTATTACTGCAAAGCTTTCGATCCGTAAGTAAGTATATTGAAAATACATTGCTAACAACGTGGCAACGTTGGTAACAATTACGTTGTGTAGTATGTTGTGTTATATACATAATTACTAGAAATACATGCATGCAACAACCAACCCTTCGCCTATATTCTCCAAACATTGTTTCAACATGAAGTATTCGTAATTACGCCAACATTGAACGCAGGCTCGCGTTGCTCACGTCATGTTTGTCATGGCAACACGATAATTTTTAAAATGTTTTTGTACAAACCTCAAACCTGCAAACAATAGATGAAACTTGAACACTTTTAAGTACAGAACTATCAATTTCTAAAATATATAAAGTAGGTATATGATTTTGGTTTCTATGTGCTTTATTTTAATGTAAAATTGAAAACGAAACTGTACGTAAAACGTTCATAAATGTGAATTGAAATTAACTGCTTTTTGCCGATCGCGATAGCTTGAGCTCAACTTATTTACTCGCACTTTGAAATGAAATAAATTTAATTCGTACACAACGCTAATGAAAATAATTTGCTTTACTTTTTATCATGAACTTCTACAAAAGTTAATTTAACTATGAAACTTTCGCATACAATCCATAGGAAAGACTTGAACAACAAGAACAAATTCTATAATATTAATACAAAGTCATACATAAACAATTGAAACAAACTTGCCCTATAGGCTATACTTTAGGATTTCGCATACTAAATCATTCTTATAAATGTTTACGTTTAATTAAAAATTGAAAAAAGTTTGATAATTTGTTATGTGAAATGATTTTCCAAGCTTTCTTACATGTATATTTATATTTTCCCCTACTTCACTCCTGGCAAACAGCCATAATTTGAGATCAGTGAGATGACCACCCATACACCCATGAACCGCGCCCGCAATAATTGATGAACTTTAGACTTCGCTAGTGCGTTCCTTTCCCCGGGTGTAAATAGCCGGGGAGAATTAGTACCCTCGCCCCGGGCTTACGCCCGGAACGGCGCTTCGCGCCGTTGGCTCGAGGATAAAGTGCATTCACACCATAATGGCAATTGCTAGATAGTATACTTCAAAATAAGGTTTCCGTTTTTATATCAATTTTTGAATGAGTTAGGGTTAGGTTAGGGTTTAGGTTAGGGTTAGGTTAGGGTTAGGTTAGGTTAGG